GGTTTGCCACACTCGAGGACCTGTCACTTGTCTTGGATGTGTTCTTCCTGCTGTACTCCCAAGGAACACAAACTCAAGAAGACCTTGACATTATAATAATAAACAGTGCCAGTTCTTAAGACAGTAGATTCTGCAGTACAGTTATGGCTGAACAAGCCCTATTCTGCACTCCTCCCAAGCTACTGGTCCCTAGATCTGAACAGTCTTCAACTCTGAAAGCCTCACACTTCCAGCTTGCCACTTTCATTCCCATGTTTTATTTGGTGAAAAAAGACCAAGCAGGTGAGGCACCTTTTCAGGTAGTCATGAAATAAATCAGTGACAAAACTAGAACAAAAATTCAGATTCTGGCTTACTAATCCTTTTTCTCTGAGCACTGAAGGGCACTCTCTTGAAGATACACAACATTTTAAAAGGCATTTGATGAGACACTTACGGTCTCAGAAAATAAACAAATACACCCCTTGTGTATTTGAGAGAAAACAAGATAAACATGATAAAAACTACAGAACATGTGTTTACAGAAAAAAGTGACAGAACATCTGTCTTACTGCATGACCTCCCAGCAGGGTGCACTTAGCAGCAACAGAGCTGAAGAGAAGCACCTTCTCACCTCTTCTCCATTATTCAAGTCCTGAACCTACATCCATTCACAGAGGTGAATGAAAATGCTATAAACATCCAGCCACCCACAAGGAGTAGTGCATTATAATGCAGTTAACAGTAACACTGAACAGAAAAGCAAAAGAATCACACTGATCCCAGAGAATAAAGCCAGAAGACCTGTAATCTGCAGGTGGTTCTTCCTCCTTTAATAGCTCAAGAGCTACAGAGCTTTTTGTTTTAGGTAATTTTCTGCTACAAGTCAAATGCCTACAAAAGAACAGTGTGTACAAAGGTATTTCCTGTTTGCTAAGGGTTTGTCCTGTGCTCCAAATGGCTGCAAAGGACATTCAGATACTAGTCTCAGAAGGGATTTCAGTTCTCTTTGCTTTCAATACAAAATACTTCAATATTTTTCAAAGAGCCACTCACCTACTGCAAGAGTAAAAAGCCAAGCCTTGACTATCCACTAAAGCTATCAGAATGTTTAGCTCTTGCAAAGAAGAGTCATTCCATCCCTGCAACAGGAAATTTTGCTGCCACTATTTGTGTGTCTATTTTAGGAGCCCATTGTTTTACAGCCCTGGATGTTGTGAACTTTCAGATAGAGCTATCAGAACAGGATTCTGTAGTATACGTTGCTATGAATACTGCAAAAAACCACATTCTTTTTGTATGCACATAAAAGGGAAGCTGTGACAGATCACAGTGATCTGAACTACACAAAGCAGAGCCTCTAAAATTAGTGTTGTACCTACCTTGTCAGCAACTGTGGCAGCATCAGATGCACTCACAGTCATGGAGACAACAGCACGGGCAATACCAACTAAAGCCACCACAAATACCTACACAAAAAGACATCAAAGGTGAGTTCATGTCAAAAGGCACATAATGCAGTATCAAGCAGAAACCTTTTGTAATATCATTTCCAGGTCAACTTTAAAGCCTGATAATGTGTACCAAGTAACAGATTGGAGTGAATTTGCCAAAGAAGATTCCTCAGGTATGTTAGATGTAGAAGCACTGACTCAATGTAGGAAGGAACACACATTTCCTCAACTGCAAGACTGAACAGCTCTTAAGAAATCTCATCCACTCCTTACAACAGCATCTTTACAAGCAGTCTTCCCACTCTTCAGTCCACTGGAACAGGGGAGGAGAGAAACCAGACAAAACACACAGTCCTCCAAATTACAAGCCCAAGTGCTTGGTATGGCTAAAAAAAGCAATCACATCAGACAACAGAAGCCACTTGATACCAACTACCACACTTCAGATTTGTGATAAAACTGCAATCTGCAGTTCTCTCAACTTAACACTGACAATGCTCAGGAATGCAGAGCAGAAAAGTCAGCTGCAACCAACAGCTTTAAAACATCTTACCTGCTGCACAGTGCAACATAGACACCCAAGTCAGCTCATGTACCACTTAAGCATCACAGCATAGAGCTCAGCAAGGTTAATTTACCAACTCCTGTGCTGTCACAGCCATACTATGCAATTAAGAGCTAAGCTGGATATATCTACACTCTAAGGGAGCAAATTTTTCCAGATAAAATTCTCCAAGTCACAGGCTAACTCTAATGAGGCAGGTATGAGCCAGTTAACTCTATCAGAGGACAAAAGGAGTCCAAGCTGTTTCTAAGGTGGTTGAAGAATGGAAATAACCAATAAGTCACCTAAAGCAGAATGTTTTCTCCTTAGAAAAAGAAGGGATGCAAGTGGCATGAAAGTAAAACAACAGAACCAGCTAGAAATGGCTGGTAATAATTTTTAAAGTCTGGAGCATTTGCGCACAAGCCCAGTGCCCACACTACAGGCCTGCAGGTGCTCACAAGACATGACACCAAAGATTCAGCTGAGGCAACCAGCTCAGATTTGGTTTTGATGCTTCCTGGGTTTCACCATACCAGTATCTGCTCACAGAAGGACCTAACCCAATTCAAACACACATTTACTCACCAGTATGTAGAACGTAGTGAAGATTGGGCTGGAAGTGACCCGGATTTTGGCCCTGGCAGAGGGCAGCTTCCAGAGAAGAAACATAAAGAAAAGCACATTGGGAACCAGGAGCAGAAGATCCCAGTAGCGGACTCTGAAAAAAATAAATACAACAGCTGTTTTCCTGTTTTTCAGCAGGTAGGAGGCTGGGCACCAGCTCCAGTCCTTTCTCAACCAAACTCCGAGGAGGAAAGCTCCCTCCCGTGGCCCAGGGTCAGACCACAGTCCTATTTCCTCTGTCTCACCTGGACTTCCCTATGTCCTCATAGAGCAACAACAGGCACTTGTGTGGCACAGTGATGTTGGTGTCATTGATTGCCTGCGTTGTTGTCGGGGACAAAGTTGTCACATTATCCAGTGCTGTCACCAGGGCAGTTGAATGTGTGATATTATCAGACATAGAGAATCTCTCAGACATCATGGACTGGAACATCCTGGCTTCCTTCTGGTCCAGGTCAAACGCAGCACAAGACAACCACAGCAGAGACAAAAAGTAACATTAAATCAGTTGTGAGTCAGAGCTAAAACACAACCCCTGCCATTAGGCCCCTGCTTCCTGCTTGTTACAGCAAATTATCATCATCTGAAAGACCATATTGCACAATGAAATGCCACCTGCCCTTACTCTAGCTCTTGAGATCAAGAAGTTGCAATCAATTATTTGAGTTCAACTACTGCAATACAAAAATGAAGGCACCTACCTAAAATCTGCTGCCTGATAGCTTGAAAGCAGAGAGACCCCTCATACTTTTATCCAAACAGACTGTACAGAATATATATTCCCAAACTAATACTGGAAAAACCAAGAAACAGCATTTTTCTTCTAGCCTAAGACACCAGAACTATTCTAATTTGAAGCACAACAGCAAGGCTGTGAAAATACAGTGTCTTTCTAAAATCCTCTCAGCATGAAGTTCTTCATATTCTTTACATCCGTCACCCTTGTTTGCATTGCTCTCCTCAGACACAGATAAGCATCACCACTGGTGGTTTATAGACCCAAAACCAGACACAGTCCTATCTAATGGGTTTCCTAAGGTCAAACTCCCTGCCAGTGGAGAGCTATGGTCAAACTCAGAGGAGTTGTGATGCTTGGTTCTTTTGCCTGCCCCACCTTACACTTCTCCTGCCCCTCAGAAAGATGACAAGACAGAACGTCCCATTATCCTGATAAAACTATTTTGTACTGCGTTCCCTGAGAGGAGTCACATCTTTTCTGCCATCTGTCCATTCTCAGAAAGATGACAAGACAGAACGTCCCATTACCCTGATAAAACTATTTTGTACTGCCTTCCCTGAGAGAAGAGTCACATCTTTTCTGCCATCTGTCCATTGTCCAGGCTCTGCAATGCTGTGATATTAACTGTCCCTCCAGAAGTTAAAGGGAAACTCTGCTCTACCATCCATAAAACTCTATGAGTCTCATGCCTATGCCAGTGGCTTTGCCAGATGCCACACCAGCAGCAGTTTGTCCCTCTGTTGGTTCTACAATCACTTTGGAAACTTAAGGAGACTATGGCACACAATACTTTTGACCAGGATTTGGTATACATTAAGAGTTCTGTCCCAATGTACCTTACTAAAACTGCTCCTGATTCAATGTACCACCTTGTGCACATGGTCTCCTCTTCCCACTCTAAAACAGCAATCCTCACCATCAGGGCACTTGACTAGCTACAAGCTGAACTTAAGCACAAGTTCCTATCATCTCTCCTGGCACTCTCCAAAGAAGTGGTCACAAATGACACATTCAACAAACAAGTCTCTATCAGGTGGTATTTTAAAGATGCGCATTGCTAGAGACAGCACTCTAGCAGTCTGACTTTAGCCCTGGCTGGCATGGCAAAAACTGACACGTGATGACAGGGCTCAGGAGGTATCTTCCCTGTGAGGTTCTGGATGACTCACAAGTTGGAAAGAATCAGCACAGCCCTGTGTCATCTGTTGAGCACCTTTCCCACAAACCGCTCTAAAGACTGTCAGCCACAGACTCTTCTTGCTTTTCAGAAGCTGAGATTCTTCCCAGGTCTTCTGAGGGGATCATCTCACCCTCAGCACACAACCCCTCTCTTTGATTCATCCTTGCTGAAAGACACTCCCTGAGGGGGAATTTTCTCCCATGGCCACCATAAGCTGCACTGCACAAGGGACATCCTGTTAAATAAACACACGCAAACCTGGAAAGATCAACATTGTGCTGAGATGGCAAAATCTGTGCCAACAAATCCTAGTTTTAGTAGAGGCTCCAGCAAACAACCTTCATATTCCAGACTTCTCTCTCTGCCCTCTAGGTTCTCACTTCTCTGAATTTACATAATTGAGAATTATTTTCTTTTAATAATTTTTGCTCCATTCTCTTTCTCTGAAACACTTCAGTAGCAGCAAGGTCAAGTATGTTCACATTTGCCAACACATTAAGAAAAGCCTACCTAATTTTTTAAAAAGCTGGAAAAGAGCAGAGAAAAACTTCCCCAAGCATAGGCAGAACAACATCAACTGCAAACCATCACAACCTCCTGGTAGCTCTTCTGGGATAAAGAATTCAATCTGACTGACACACTGAAAAGCATTTGAGTATAAAGCTGAGAGAGAAATACATGGGAAAAACATCTTCCTTATAAAAAGAACAAACAAGCTACGTTATTTTTCCCTACAAGCCAGCACTATCATGGAACAGCAGTGAGCTGCTGATAAGAAGAGGAGTTGGCCACATTTAACTGAGCTCCACTCATGGGGTTTCAAAGGGCAAAACAGAATCAAGTTCACCTCTCAGCCAGGCTGCTTGCTGTATTAGCATCCAGTTCTTCCTCCCAAGATGAAGTACACACAAGGCAGAGCAACAGAATACCCAATGCGATAAGAAAGGGCAGCCAAAGCCACCAGCCAGACAGCACAATCCCTGTGCTTTTCCAATAGCTAAGACCTACAGCAAGGAGGTAGAGAACTGTCCCATTCCTGTCATAATCACCAATAAGAATTCCAGGACAACAGGACCAGGAACTGATAGCAAGGATCCAGCTAGGCTTTGTCATCCCCAGCAACACCACTCCTTACAGCACACTGTCCAAACCCTTGCCCTGTCTAGTCCAAAATAAATCCAGTCAGCTGAGCATACCCAAGAGATCACTCACCACACCCTGCTTCCACAGAGCCCTTCACTCCAGCCAGCCCAGCCTGCACAGAGGGGGGAAAATCACCCCACAGCCACACAAAAGGAAACCAGTGCCACAGTCCTGGCCTCCCTTTTGCTCCTGGCAGGCAGCTCTACTCCCCTCACAACAGAAAACAAAATAAAATGGTTTTCTACCCTACAGCTGAAGACAGGCTGATTCGGCAGAGACCTATTCCTCTGTCCAGGTGCTGGGATCTCAAGCTGAATTCAGATCAAGAACCTGCACAAGACTGGCAGGTTGCTGTGACAGGGCACTGGGGAAGGCTGGGCAGCACCTTCAGGTAACAAGATTGCCTCTTATCATGGGAATGTTGCTTCTTGATTTGTCATATCATAAGCTTATCAAAGCTCAGTGAAATTTCAGGCTCAAATTGCCAGCAATTCTCTGTGCTCCCAAAGTCCAGCCATAGAAAGGTGAATTACACACTACATGATATCAGCTCTAGTAAAAAAAAGTTTACTTCCTTCCTGAAAACAGTATCAGAAAATCTTGCAAGTACATACTTGGTCAAAGACAGCTCCTTAAAACACTGCATTTGTGCAAGAAAAAGCTGCACTGACTGATCCCTGCCCAATTAAATACAACTGTTATTTCAACAGCTTAAATAGAAAAAAAAAACCTGATCTAAAAAGCCTTTTTTCTTCTCTTCCTTTTTACGATGACTCTTCAAATCTCACTCCTGATCACAATAGCTGCATTTTCCATTTCAATCCTTAGAACTCCCAGGACAGGGATTTTCCACGAGGGATCAAGAATTGCTCTTTTCTCCAAGTTTCAGTCCCACACTTCGTTCTGAAGTAAACAAAGTAACTACAGTGCTAAAACAACCCCAAAAAACCCACCAGAAGCAGCAGAATCAACAAGAATCCAACATCTTTTGAGAATCCCAGCCTTCCATAAATTGCTATCCTAAGCCTCTTGGTTTGTTTCGGTTTCTTTTCCTGGGAAAGGCGGGTGCAGAGGGAGCGAGCAAGGAGACAAGCGGGACAGACTAACAGGCCCCCTGTGCCACCGTTGGGCCCCGGCACGGAGGCCACACCTGCTGGAGACGCTGCTAAAGGAACCAGGAGGCGGGAGAAAAACCTGAAGTTACTTTCCAGCCCCCAGGCCGGGCAGAAGCGGCTCTGGAGGCTCCTGCTGCGGGAGGGGAGCACAGCCCTGCCCTCCAGGGACCCGCCGAACGGTTTGCAGAGGGCAGGGAAAGCAGCGACGTGTGTGTGTGTCCCCCCCCAAGGCC